CGATTTCCTATCTATTATTAATAGGATAGTCGTTTATGTATGGGAATTTAGGACTATTTAGATAAATAGTTTTATTTATATAGGGGGGATTGCTTTAGTGCCTTATTATTTGGTATATATATTGGGTCACAGCTTAGTACTGTTTCGGCTTTTCATATTCCTGCAGACAATTGATCTCTCAAATAGACATTGCAACATTGTCTCTACTTATTACGTCTATGTAACAATTGGGTTTGCCACTACTTAGATAATTAGCTTATATTGTTACAGGTTAATCTAACAGTGACAATTAGCCGATACTACTTTGTAATTTTTTCTCCTTTTTTGTATTTTGGTTGGGATTTTGCACTTTGTGTGTAGTGAATGTGAGTTATTGGTGTTTATATTAAAGATTATTTCAGATATATATATTGTGTTGTTTTATAAGCCTAAAAATGCTTCTTTGGGGGTAGCTTTGGTAGGAGGATTCCTCCCGTCTATATGCGAGAGACATTCCTCCTACTACTTTTTCTTCTTTTCTAATATTGTGTGTAGGGTTAAGCCCATTCTGCTACCCCTTTTAGCCCTTCTTGTACTCCTTGTTGGAGTTTGTTCTCTGCTCGGTAGTACTGTCTATATTTGTAGTTTAAGGTTGTTGTTATATAGAAGAACCAGCTGGACTTATATTGCTACTCGCTTAAATTCCCACATTACATGTCATTATTTGTTACCTTGTAGCCTATTAAACATTTCATAAGGCAAACTCTGAATATCACAGGTCAAAGCTAATGTAGCAATATCTTTGAAATGGCAGATTACACTGATGATATTTTCTTTATACTTTCTAATCACTTGATTTTTGCATCTTATATCGTTAACCTTTCAGAGGAATATTCAAAGCTCTCAAAGCTTTAAAGTTAATTTTGAAATGTATGATGAATTGGTGACTTATATCCTTCTGCACCTAAAAGTTCTGTAACTGAAGATAAGGTTCATTAAATGGAAATTCTTCATTAATATTGTGAATTTATTTTGTTGAGCCGAAATATGTACAGTATCTAATTTATTGATTAATTCTAGTTTTATGATCAGAGGAATTATTTTTAATTTAATACTTTATTCAATCTAAATGCAGTGATTCTTCTTTAAAAAAACTGCTAAATGATATGCTGCTCATTGTGATGTGAAATTAATTATGGATTTTGAATACATAATGTGTGTGTGTAAATGGATATAGATATAGATATCAATATATACACACACATTATGAATTAGAAACCCATTATTAATTTCACATCACAATTAGTAGCATATAATTTAGCAGTTATGTATGTATGTGTGGTAATGTCACTGCCTTAGAATTTGCAGACTCAGATCCTGCTCAGACACCTCACCAGTAGGTTTCCCTGGGCAAGATACTGAATGATATATATATCTGCCTACCTCAATAATATGAAAGTGCCCTGAACCAAAACAGTCATCCCCCGGTTGGATGTCATCTGGATTAACAAGGTTAACAACACATATAACATAGGCCATCTGACCACTCGTGGGCTAAAAGGAAAAAATGCAAGTGAGAACCTAGAATTACTTGATAACTGTCACAGTATAAAGCCCAATACGCAAAATATAACCCTATCTAAATAAATAGAATGTATTACCAGACCTTAGAGTGCTTAATGTGACTGAGAAAGAAAAGTTGTGAAGTAACCAAAAATTAAGGGAACCAAAGGACAGGAGAACATGAGACAATAGCCAAGTCAAGTATAACAGAAATCAGAGTAGTAAGAAAAAAATATACACACAGATAATACCGAATGCACTATGGGGCAAATAAGGAACCACAACAGGGCACTGACAAAAACATAAAGCACTATATTTATAGTGTGAGCGCTTTAGCTTTAAAACCACTGCCCAAAACATAAGGGGCAATGGAAATGACATGAATCCTCATAATGACGTTGATGCATATGCGTCGCGTCATAAAAAGAAGTGGAGACTGAGCAACCGGCGTCGGAATCGCTGAATGCGTTGAAAGAGGAGCGTTTGGCAGTCAGCTCCCCACATGGGCACTTAGAAGAGAGGTACGGTATTGTGACAGTAGCAGAAACAATGTGAGAGGTTACATGATATGTATGTGGGAACTAGGGATAAATAAGAGACCATCATTAGCACTGATACCAAAACAGCTAATCACAAAATGTTTGAACATTGTCAAGTGTAATCTAGTGCCACAATTGCAATTAGATGGACTCAGTGGCGGATCCAGAGCCTGATCTCGGGAGGGGCACTAATAATCTGGAAATAATCCAGGCACAATAATGACTAGAGCTCAGTGTAGTAGTTATAGTGCCAGTAGTGCCAGGACCCCATCCCAGAGATGGGACACAGACACTGGGAGACTTGGGGACACTGAGACACTAGGGACACTGGCTGGGAGACATGGGGACACTGGGAGACAGGGGGACATAGTGTATCTGTGTCCCAATGTCTCAGTGTCTCCCAATGTCCCTATGTCTCATAGCATCCCCATGTCTCCCAGTGTACCCTAGTGTATCAGTGTCCCCATGTTTTCTAATGTCCCCAAGTGTCTCAGTGTCCCCAGGACTCCCAGTGTCCCCTAGTGTCTGTGAACCCATGTGTCCCCTAGTGTCTGAGTGTCCCCATGTGTCCCCTAGTGTCTCAGTTTCCCCATGTCTCCCTGCTGCCTTTCCCCCATCCCTCACTTACCTGAGCTGTAGAGCTGCTGTCTGGACTCTCTGTGCTGTGTTGCTGCTCCCCCACGGATCAGCGAGTAGTAGAGAGAGGCAAGGATATGCTGTAACTTCCTATCCCTACCTCTCTCCACACACAGTGATCCCTACTGGCCAGTGCTGGTATTGCAGAGTAATTTCTGTTTATTCTGAGAAAAATACCTGCATTTGTATTGCCAGTATTACTGCAATACTGGCACGGCCACGCAGCTTCAAATACCAGCTGTGCCAGTAAAATACCAGTCAGGTGGCAAACCTAAGAGTAGTGTGTAAAAAAATAAATAAAAATTTTTTTTTTTTTTTTTTTAATGGGCCTATTCCATGGGCCTGGGCCTGGAGCTGCAGCTCCATCAGACCCTATGTTAATCCGGCCCTGGTTACAGCTCACAAAGCACAAGGAGTAAATTAACTTTTAATGTGGAGCGATTTTAGAATTTGGTATGTTTGTCTTGTAAGCTTAATAGCCGTAAAAGAAAACAAAATTGCCAAACAAAAGTATATATTTAATAAAGCAGACATCACAGGCTATTTAACTAACATTATTTTGACACTTTTTACGTAGCCATTTCACCACAAATCCCTGCTAAATATTGGACTAAAGTTTTTTGACACTCAAAATTATAACAAAGAACTTCTCATGTGTATTTCGTAAAGTTAGTGTGTGCTATTCCTGTACAAAACCTAATTTTGTGTTCAGCTACATCTGCTGAGTACAACGATACCCCCATTGTATGTGAAGCTATAGCGCCATATAGGAGACCTGTCCATTTCGGTATTTACAATAGAATTTTGAGAGAGGGATTTGATGGGCCTATGTTTCAATTTGGGCCACTATAGCAGTTTGACTGTTGGAAAAAAACCCACAAAGGCCTTCCATTTGTAAAGGTAGACACTCCAGAGTATCTCATATGGTGCATATTGTGCCTTAACATGCCCCCATTTTTTCACCAATGTATATCAAAGTTTGTGGTAAAAAATAATTTTGGGCATTTTTAACATCCGCATTACATTTTTGCTGGGCATTTTGTATATTTGACATGTGCCACCATGATCAAAGCCCCAACATTATGCTCAGCTAAGTCTTCTGAGTAAAATGATAAACCCATTGTATGTCTTTGGCACTATTTTGTAAAGCAACAATGCCATATAGGAGACCTGTCCATTTCAGTATTTACAGTAGAATTTTGAGAGACGGATTTGATGGGCCTATGTTTCAATTTGGGCCATTATAGCAGTTTGACGGTTCGAAAAAAACCCACAGAGGCCTACCATTTGTAAAAGTAGACACTCCAGGGTATTTCAAATGGCATATTTTAAACCCTAGCATAGGATCCTTTTTTTGCTAGTTTGTACCAAGTCTAGTAGCAATTAGCATTTTTTTCTGCCTTTTTGACACACACTTGGAGATGTTACTGTATATTTTGCAATCCTTATGTGTGCTACGGCAGTATACCACCTATTATGTTGCTCAGCTATGTCGTCTTGGTACAACAATACCCCCATGTGTACCTTTTTCAGGGATATGTGGATGTTGAAGGGGCACATTGGAGACTAAGCCATATCAGTTTTGTTTTTTTCAAACTTTTAATTTTGATGCTGGGTCCATGTGCAATTTTAGAGCATCTTAGCAGGCTGATAATTCAAACTACCCCACAAAGGCCTACCATTTTTTTAAAGAAGGTATTAATCACCGTATTAACCTGCATCAAACTCTGGGGCACTGCCTGTCAACTCTGTCTGCTGATAGAATTCATAACTTCCTAAGCATTTTTTACATTTTACACAAGAACTTTAACTAAATAATGTTATAAAATATTTTCTTTTCTTTTTTAAACTCCCCAACTTCCTATGAATTACCATGCACCCTAATTAACTAACTAAAATTAGAAAAATAATTAAATAATCAGAGTCAGAGGTAAGAATTGCAGCAGCCTCCTTGGCCCTAAACATTGTCAGCAACTTTAAAATGGAAGAACTAAATAATAACAAAAAAAATGTGTGTGTGTGTGTATATATACAGAGGCAGTGTCTGTGGCGTCAGAGTCGACTGCTAGTATATCATAAGCCTCCTCAGCAGTGTTCCTTCTAGACATTATGAAGGTGTAACTTTAACAACCTTTTTTTTAAATTGTTTTTTTTTTTTACTTTTTCTTTTTTTTTTCCTGTTTTCTTTTTTTATAGGTTTTTTTTAACTTTTCAACTTTTCGCCACAAACGGGTCGCCACGGACTCATCATTGAGTAAACTTTGACCCTGTACCTCACAGTCTGCAGACACATTCCAGCCAATCAGCAGCAGACTCTCCCTCCCAGACCCTCCCACCTCCTGGACAGCATCCATTTTACATTCATTGTGAAGCTGCATTCTTAGTGAGCTGTCCAGGAGGTGGGAGGGTCTGGGAGGGAGGGTCTGCTGCTGATTGGCTCTAACTAGCCTAACACTCAATTTCCCAAATTCCCACTAAAGTCCACCCACTCCAGCTAACTAAGGAATTAATGTTAAATTAATTAAATAACCAGGGTTAAAAATCAAAATTAACCCTTGAGGGTACAAAAAAAAATTAGATCACAGTTAAATACTGTGATCAGTATACTGATCACTGCAGGCCGTAATCAAAAGGGAAAGGAAAGGGTTAACACTGTTTTAAAAGTATTAAAATGACTTTTATAACAGAGACACACTTTAAGCTAAAATGGCACACAATGTTGCAGCACCGATCCGTCTCTCTCCACTTCTCAAACCACACAGAGGTAGAGGGAGGATGATCAGGAATCACAGCAGCACTGTGATCGCTGTGACTGTCTGTGACAGCGATCACATGTGCTGGGTCAGCTCTATTGGCGGTTGCTGGTCTGCCTCTGACATCGAGGCACCCAGCAACAGCGTTAACCCCACGATCGCTGTGATCTGGCGTTAACAGTAGTAAATGACGGAGATTTTCTGTCAACGGTCCTTAACGCACGGACAAGTTTGACAGAAAATCTCCGTCTTTGGTCGGAAATGGGTTAACACAAATATTGTTTTGATTGCCCAGGGCATTTATCTAATCTACACAGCCGTATAAACATGCTATCTGCAGTAGCTACTATATTATTTTGCTTTGATGTGCATTGTATGTGTCTTCACCACAGTCCTAAATACTTTATTTCATGTGAATTTTTTATTTAATTTTTATTTTATATTTTTTGCAGTGCAAAAGTGTACATGTGTGCAGTGCAAAAGTGTACAAGTGTACTTTGCTTGAGGTGCCCCAACGGCAGTCCACAGGCTAATCAATATATATATAACTTTTAGACACATAAGAAAACATGCACAATTGTATAATTAATAGCTTGTCAGGCTTTCATGTACTAGCGTTAGGCAAGTATGCATGTAGGTAAAGTGGTAGGCTAGCTAGACATGTAAAACAACAAGAAATTTACGAGATGTATAACATGATAAATTATATGACTGAACAGATTAGCTGTAATGCCACAAGGCCCCAGACCCCTCATTGTGCACATAGGCCTGTTTCCCTGCTATATAGACATTGATGTCACTGAAGAGAATTAGGCGTTCATCCGATGTTGCATGTGGGTTTCCGCTGGTTGACAATCCAAAGGGGTGGGGGTAACAGGGTAGCATTAGCCCACAGATTTGAAGCCTCATCTTGTGGTTCGGGAGATTGGCTGCCTCCCCCGACTTCCTAGTGTGCAAGGCCTCTCCGGCATCCCAGGGTTGTCTCCTCTATGGACCAACCTGGAGGACGCCACTCTGCCACCCAGATCAGTGAGGTTCAGGAAAGGGTATTACGGTGTGATGTGAGTGGACTGTGAGACCATATTCAGGCTGAAGCAGGAGCTCTCCCACAACAAGTCCGTCCGCCATGCGGTTCAGGCCCCGCCCCCCATTTCATGTGTATTTAAGCAAATGCAAGGTTACGCTATGTGATTGCATTATTGAGTTATAACTTTTAGATGTCAGAAATAATGTATTAAAATAACTATTATTATCTACTTTGTTGTTTCTTTTCAGTCAGAAACCTGGAAAAAAATATCTCCCTAGGATTCATACACATATGCCGAACCACAAAATATGTTAAAAAACAAACAAACATAAAATAAATATAAAATGATTTCACAGTATTGTAACTTATGTGTTTGGGATTCTTAATTTCAAAACATTTAATACAAATATATCAAAATTGCTGCTTCATTACAAATATTTTTTTTTAAATGTATTCTTACAATAGTGCAGTATATTTTTGATAACTATATAAGTATATTACTGTGGTGATCCACTAATCTGTGGGTTAACATGGCAACACATTTAGCAAAGTTGAAAAGAGACATAAGCCAATTTCAATTCGCAGTTGCATTTGCAAATTCATCCTAAGTGCAGAGAGCCTTTTTATTTTTAGAACAGGTCCGGATAGTCCCATAAAAGCTCCCAATACACTAGCTAGCTAATAGCTTTTACGTCAGTCCTTGAGCTATTATTTATGAACGTAAACACGTTACACGTTATCTGTTCTAACATATTGTAATGTTATATGTCCATTATTTGGAAAGATAACTATGTATAAATAGGAGATACTATGGTGTGTAGTAGAAGGTAATACACAATTGTCAAACTTGTTTTTTCAAGGCATGGTGTCATTTTATTTTTGTTTGCAGTAAACCAGATATAACTTGCAATCACAGGCCTACATACAATTGTTATTAGTTTTATAAAAAATATGATTTGACTCATTCTTTATTGCAATATAAATCCTTACTTATAATACATATTTGTAGATATTTTACATTGTATAAATTTTATATGAATCTTGTTAGCCTTTATGCAGATAGGCAATGAACACAACTTTGTAGGTAAAATGAATGAGTCTCTTTTCCTAGTCGTGCCATATATCAAATATATATTGGTAAATATGTACATTTTCAAGACATTAGCCAAATAAATAACTGGGTGAAATACAATGTAAATCATTAAGAAATAAGATTAATTTCTTGCTACAAAATATAGCTTATTTTTTGTCCAAATTAAGGAAATAACCACAAACACATGAATAATATATGAAAACATTAAATTACATTCCAACTGGATATATTTATAAAAATGTAAGATAAAATACATATTTGATTAATACAGGTTATGAA